AATTCAAAATATGATAATAATAAGTAATCTTTTATAATATATGTCTATTAATGAAAAGACTGAATTTTTTTCCTTGGGATTTTATTTAAAGTGGGTTCAATGTTAATGCCCCATCACTAAATTGAGCACTAGCGTTTATCTGTACAAACCATTCATAGTTCATGGGCTATACAAAAGCAGGCAGGTTGGCCCATAAGCCATAGTTTGGTGACTCCTGGGCTAGAAAATCAAATAAATCATAGATATCTCACAAATGTCACAATAACATCACAAATGCAAAGATACAACTATAAAATACTGTATTAAAACCATAAATTGTCCAATCTTATAAAATGATATAAATAAAATGTAAATACTGATTTTTATTTTTTGGAAGGAATCTTTTTTTTTATGTTTATTTATTTTTGAGAGACAGAGAGAGAGAGAGAACGAGTGGGAGAGAGGCAGAGAGAGAAGGAGACACAGAATCTGAAGCAGACTCCAGACTCCAAGCTGTCAGCACAGAGCCTGACGTGGGGCTCAAATTCATGAACCGTGAGGTCTTGACCTGATCTGAAGTCAAACACTTAACTGACTGAGCCACCCAGGCACAACATAAATATTGATTTTAAAATAATTAAATATGTCACAAGGTACTCCTAAAATCAGTATTCCATCTAAAACAAACACTAATTATTTAATTAGCCATGTTGTGTCTGCTTTCTTAAAATTTATAGTTTAGTAGCTAACAGATGGAAAAAACCCACCACCATCATTGGTGACCACCAATGATGAATGGATAAACAAAATGTGGTGTATACATACAATGGAATATTATGCAGCCTTAGGAAGGAATGGAATTCTAACATGCTACAACATGGAGGACTTTGAGGACATTACATTACATTCACCTTGGCTAGGTGAAACAAGCCAGTCACAAAAAGACAAATACTGAATAATTCTACTTTTGTGAGGTACGTAGAGCAGCCAGATTCATAAATAGAAAGGAGAATGGTAGTTACCAGAGGCTGGGGGGGGACAGGGAAGGGGACCAGGAATATTGTATAATGTATAGAGAGTTTCAGTTTTGTAAGATGAAGAATTCTATATATGGATGGTGGTACTGTTTGCACAACAGTATGACTGAACTTAATACCACTGAATGTACACTTAAAAACGGTTAAGATGGTAAATTTTATATGATGTGTACCACACATAAATCATTTTGTATGATGATTTTACCACAATAAAAAAACTGGGAAAAAATGTAGAAATTGGAGTTGACAGACTCTCTATAAAATTTTTCAGAAGTAAATTGATACTTTCTTTCCCTCTTGATAACTTTCTCAGTAAGGATAAGTAATTCATTATCCTATTGTCTAAGAACAGAACTTAAAGCATGTATTCTCTTCAAAAATATGCCATTGCATAATTTAAATATTTGAAGACCTCACTAAGGCCTTTAAATAGAATATTTTTTTTTAATGTTCATTTATTTATTTTGAGAGAGAGTGAGTGAGCACAAGCAGGGTAGGGGAAGAGAGAGGGAGTGGGAATTCCAAGCAGGTTCTGTACTGTCAACGCAGAGCCCGATGCGGGACTGGGACTGGACCTCAGCAATGTGAGATCAGGACCTCAACCTGAGCCACCCAGGTGCTACTTTAAATAGAATAATTTGAATAACAAATCACTTTAACTGGTTTTCCCCAACTTCTCACTTCCCCCATCTTGAGGATTAGTTTCAGAGAACCCAGCCTATCTGGGTTTTCTGCTTTCAGGTTTCATCTAGCTTCCATTAAAATGTCAGTTGGGCTCTGTTCTCTTCTGGAAGCTTGAATGGAGAAGAACCTGCTTCCAAGCTCACTCAGGTTGTTGGCAGAATTCATTTGTTTGCAGCTATCAGCCTAAGAGTTTCGATATTTTGCTGTTTGTTAGCCAGAGGCCAACCTCAGTTCCGAAGGGCTATCTATGGTTCCCTACCATACGGCTGTCTTCATAGGAGTTCACAAAAGGGCAGCTTACTTCTTCAAGGCCAACAGGAAAGTAAGAATGTGCTAGCAAGATGGAATCTAAAATAAAACCTAATGTAACCATAGGAATGTCATTCCATCAACTTTGCCATGTAACATAACATCATCACAGACCATTTATTTTCTCTATAGTGGGGGAAAAGGATGGGGTTGATGTCTTCCTTTCTAGCATCCATGGCATCAACAGCAATTAGCAGATTCTCTGTTAGTATTAAAAAAAAAAAAAAAAAAAAAAAAGCAGGGGCCTGGGTGGCTCAGTTGGTTGAGCATCCAACTTCAGCTCAGGTCATGAGCTGGTGGTTCATGAGCTCGAGCCTCACGTTGGACTGACTGCTTCAGATCCTCTGTCGCCCTCTCTCTGCCCCTCACCTGCTCACACGTGCTATCTCTCTCAAAAATAAATAGGCATTTTTTTAAAAAAGCAAAATTCCAATACTCAAATTTTACAATAAGGAGAAAAGTACTAAACTGCTCATTAGACATCCAATTTTTCTATACAATATTCTTTCTTAGTTGGTAAACAAAGGCAAATATACAAAAGTAAAGTTCAAGGGAAGCAGGAAAAGACCTGAGAACAATGAACTCTTCAAATATTTTCTAAAGTACAATGTTTATTAGATGTCTAAGTCGTTTAGTCATTTCTAATTTTCAACCCTATAGCAGAAAAGCTTTCCAAATCACTTTCATTCCATATAATATGGGCCTTAACAGTCAGTGCTCCAAATCTGGAACCAGCATACTCCTTGCTATATTAACCTGCCAGTAAGCTACAGAAAGCAAATCAAGAACACACAAAGCCTGCTATAAATTTGGTTATGGAGTTGAGGGCTACACAGAACCTCTTAAGTCCAGTTTCAGTTCCAAGAACAATATTAATATTGATTTCTGGGACATTATAAAACATAAGTCTTCTAAACAGGGCTAACTGGTATCCAATGCCATGAACAGATAAAGTCCAGAGTAGCAAAAGTCCAATTCACCAAAAGGAGGCATCATCTAGAGGCACATCTGATACTTAAAGACTTTATGTCAGGCTGGATTGACACCAGTGAGTTTCTGCAGAGACAGGACCCATTTTTTGAAGTCTGTATAAAGCTAAACTGATACAAATGTTATCTATAGTTTTATAAAGCCAACACAAAAGGAAACATCAAAGTACTTCTACAAAAACACACTTCAACAAAAATAGTTCTACTACAGCGCAGAGGAATGAAAAGTCTTTCCTAGAAATGAGCACTATTGCTAAAGTGGCACTCAGAGTCTATATACCATATAGTACTTTTATCTATCACTCTAATAGTTAAGCATTTAAACAATGCAATCCTAATTTTTCCTGGATTTTTATCCTCACAAAGTTGATCCATAAATAGGAAGTTTATCTGTTCATTTTGAGGGGTGGCTATCTATTCTAAGCAGTCATCTAAGGAAATATAACTGGTGGATTGTCTCATATCCTTATGTGAAACATTCAGCAAATAATCTAATCTCTTTTCAAACTTAGTTCTTTTCCATGGGCATTAAAGAAAGTAATTAAGATTTTTAAAAGGTTTTTTAAATATTTACTTTGTTTGGGTACACTGTTCCTAAGAAATGATTTTTTCTTTTCTTTCTTTCTTTTTCTTTTCCCCTATGGTATAATACAGAGCTTATTTAGATTTCACTTGTTTTACACATAGTCATTCCATGTACTTTTGTGGTCTAAAGTCATCACTTGGAGGTAGCAATGGAAAATAGCAGTGTCAGAAGACCTGGGTTCCTTCACTAGCTATGTGACCTTGAGTAAGCCACCTTAACCTATAAAAGGGGACTAGTATCTGGCCTACTATACACACATAGCAAATTACTCAACTTATATAAAAATTGATCAATTGTTTTGATATATTTTAAGAGATATAGGAAAAGATTCTTCTTAAAAATATTTTCATAGGAAGGCTGCTGATGAAAAAAGCACAGGCTTTACACTCAGGAGTCCTGTGTTTCTGGGATTCTAGCTCTGTTACTTATTAACGTATGATCCTAGGCAAATTAATTATTCTCCATGCTTTCAATTTCCTTGTATGCTTGACATAATCCCAACTCAGAGGATTGTTGTAGGGATTAAATAAGGTAATTCAATAATCACTCACTCAACATGTATTTATCTAGCAATCATTCTGCTTGGTGCAATACTAGTTAAAAGTCCCATGTGAAACACACACACACACACTGTGCTAGACTACTAGACTTCAGGGTTTCAAAAAAAAGTCAATGATACATTAAAGCAACATTATGGCAAAAACAAAACAAAACAAAACAAAACAAAACAAAAAAAACCTAACCTAATTTTTTTTTTTCACCTATGTACCTTTTTGGAACCAGTCATAGGAATCTGGTAAGTTTTTGTGAGCTGTTACAGACAAATTTGCAAGACTGAATCCAAGCACAAAAAGTCAAGTCTGGATTCAGAAAATAATTCTGAACTAACAGAAAACACATTTTGAGTCTAGCTGTTCATGTGCCTGACAGGATAAACACAAGGAGGTCACAAAAAAGACAAAGGTTAGAACTGATGGCATTTACCACACAACATATAACTAATATAGGGCCTGGCATAGGGTAACTGCTTATAAATATTGGTTGAAAGAATTGAATTGAATTGAATTGAATCCCAATTCTGCCACCAAGTGACTCTGAGTAAGTTATCAACTTGTCTGAACCTTAGTTCTCTGTGAAATATAAATGTGTCTGTTTTATCTATCTCATAGGACAGTTGTTATCAAATGAAATCACATGAGAATGTATTGGCACTAACAAAACAATAATTATGACATATAATGACTACTGGTACTAATTAGCTCAGAAGCCTACTTGTAAGATGCTATTATGTAAGTACAAGGAAAGAGCATCAAAATCTACTGGGGAAAAACCCCCCTATTTTCGAAAAATGTCATCTTTATGATGAAAGGAGCTGGTCACCGCTAAACTGGTGCTGTGCCTTTTCTAACCCGTAGGTTACAGCGGCAGGGTCTGTTGAGTGGCATCGTGTTTGACTGAATCCCCCAGTCAGCGCAGGCAGCATTAAGATGCCGATTTGAGGGTCCCCACCTTCAGAACCACCATCTAGGCCCAAACAAGGCACTACCAGTAAGATGCCTTTGTAGTTAGCGGAGCGAGAAAACAACAGCACCGAGACAATTCCACCCTCCATAGGGGTAAAGGGACCGCCTGCCAGCCTTACTCACCCGGGTCGGCCAGAGCGCGCCCCAAAGCCCCGCCTCGTCCAGCGCCCCCGCGTCTCCGGCCAAGCCCTGCGCCCCCAGTCCCTGCCTCCTGGCACGTACGCAGTGCTGAAGGCTGGGGGAGTGCGGCCTGGACCGGCTACTTACCCAATGGCCGTTCTTAGGGCGCCTGCTGTCCAGCTGGCCGAGCCTCCCGGCACTATCCTTCCGGGGCTCCCAGGACTTGCCTTCGGTCGGAGCCCCAACTGCAGCGACTGCAACCTCGGCAGGCACGTAGGAGCAAGGGGGAGCAGAAAGCGAAGCCTACAGAGAGGGACGAGCCCGGGGCGGGGTAGCCGTTTAGCCACTCCCTTAACCCCTCCCCCGCTGTTCCCCGCGAAGTCCTGGGAGGCAACGAGGTACCGATGGACGTAAGAAAGCTAGGACACAGGGCCCCGCCCCTGACCTCTTCCCGCCCTGCCGGGTCCAGACTACGCCGTGACTCCGTCACTGACCTCGGGGCGCTCCACCCACTTCTAGTTGGTGGGCGCGCACGCGCACTTGCCGGCTTCTTTTGACAGCTTTGGCCAAGTGAGAAGGAAGGGGAGCAGGAGGTGTCGCGAGAGTTGGCCTCGTAGGCGATGTAACTATGGCGAGTCCGGGGATCGACACGGAGCAGGAGCCGCTCCTCGGCGACCGCACACCCGGAAGCAGGTGAGCGGATGTTGGGAGAAAGCCCCCTCATCTTCCTGCGCTATTGGGACTGGCCCCTTTCCTGGCGTCAGCCTTACGGAACCGAAAGATGAGTCTCAGGGCGGCAGGAGGCTGCGGCCGGTCGGGTGAGACAGGGCGATGTGCTCCTGCGCCTGAGAAAAGAGGTCCGCGGTGAGCCAGCGGGTTCTGGTGAAGCTGTCAGAGAAACTCAAACTGCCTTCATTCCAACAGTGTTGCAGCCTTTAAGTGTCTACATTCTGCATTCCTCTACAGAACTCATCACTTTACACGTCTCCCAGAAGTTCCGAAATGAGGGTTTTAATCGATGCTTGAAGATACCTCTCTTAGGTCGCCCTTTATTATTTCCAGTTATTTTAATCCTAGTTTATGGACAGCAATTTAGAATTGTTACAGTTTGTCTCTTACTACGCAATTAAGAATCTATTTTTGTTTTTAAGAAAATGGAATTAAGTATCATTATGTTTGAAACCTAATTTATCAAGTAAATTAATGCACAGTTAAGCTGTCAACCACCATGTTAATTTTTGCTCATTTGTCTCTAAAGCACCAAACTTTTATTTTAACCGCTTTGTTTGAAACTCTGGACAGTGTATCTCTCTGGTCCCCAGTTTACTAAATGGAATATAGGCATTGCGGATTACCTATATTTTAAATTGAGATCAATACAATTATTATCAATGTTGAAATGTGTCATAATAGAGTGATGTCCTCAGGGCCTATTGAGACATTTTGGACTATTTGCTTCCATATTAGTTTTTTTCTTCTACACTACTTTCTTACACTTTCTTACCAATTTATTCTGCACTTGCTACACTTTTAATGTTTTCTGTTTACTTTTTAGTTTTTCTGCCTATTCTGTTGCTGGCTGACTATTCCCCATAATGTTTTTATTATCTTTTGACAACTTTTGTTTTTGTTTCTGTCAGCAACCTCTCTTCTCCCAACTTTATTTTCAGACTTCTAGTTTGCTGCTATTTTGAAAACCATATCTAAGCTTAATAGAACTATGTGTAGTTAGAATATGGAAGCTATGACTAGGGCTAACGATCTGTCTTATTAGTCAAATGCACGTGTTTCAGTGCATAGATTGCCACATTTGGATTTCTCAAACTTCTGCTTTTTCCAGGTTCTTGGCTATCTTCCAGATAGATTCAGGATCTTTGAGTTAATGGTTAGATGTGGTCTTGCTATACGTTCTGTCACTGTGTCCAAATTGCTTTTAAAAAAGGACTTACTGGGGCGCCTGGGTGGCGCAGTCGGTTAAGCGTCCAACTTCAGCCAGGTCACGATCTCGCGGTCCGTGAGTCCGCGTCGGGCTCTGGGCTGATTGCTCAGAGCCTGGAGCCTGTTTCCGATTCTGTGTCTCCCTCTCTCTCTCTGCCCCTCGCCTGTTCATGCTCTGTCTCTCTCTGTCCCAAAAATAAATAAACGTTGAAAAAAAAATTAAAAAAAAAAAAAGGACTTACTTTTGGCTTTGATTATGTCCTTGTGATTGAGGCTCATTAAGGTGCATCTAAATTCAGATGTTCTGTCCATAAACAGTACTTGACTGAGATTCTAGATTTAGCATTTTAAAAATAAGATATTTTGAGAATAATTCAATAAGTATACCATCTTTAAAAATACAGTTGGATTCCCTAGTAAAGTGAACAAATATGTAATGGACAAGTGGTATTCACTTTGAGTAAATTGTAGGAACTTCAGCCTAGTTCACCACCAACTTTTCCTCACTAGGAAGGTTAGTTTTAGTTTATTGGTCTGATGAGTCCTGGGTGGTCTCCACTGACTCTATCTACAATGTTTGAGAGAACAGAGGTTGGCAAACTTTTTCTGTAAAGGTCCTGATGGTAAATATTTTAGGCTTTGCAGAACAAGAGGCAAAATCAAAGATACAGGTACTTAGATAACAAGAAAGAAAACAAATTCTCACAAATTTGGTAATGAAATTTATAATAGATGAGTAAAATCTTTTTGTAATACAAATCAATGAGGAATAGATTTCAGGGGTGGCATTTTGCTTAACAGAGTTAAAAGTTAATGTTTTCTTTAAAACAATTTTTTTTCTAATGTTTATTTTTGAGAGAAAGAGAGACAGTGTGTGAGTGGGGGAGGGCAGAGAGAGAGGGAAACACAGAATCCGAAGCAGACTCCAGGCTCTGAGCTGTCAGCACAGAACCTGATGCGGGGCTCGAACTCATGAACCGTGAGATCATGACCTGAAATGAAGTTGCACGCTTAACCGACTAAGCCACCCAGGCGCCCCAAAAGTTAATGTTTTCTATTAAGTTGATCACAAGTACTCACAAATATGTTCAAATAGTAACAACTATTCTTAGTTCACTGGTGATCTAGAAACAGGTGATAGGCTGGGTTTGGATTGAGGACTACAGTCCTTGCTGTACAGTCCATGCTGATCCCTTTCTGAGAATATCCTAAAATGTTACAGGTGCTTAAAATTTTTCTTTGCAACTCCAGCCTAATTTCTGTAATACAAATATTGCTATGACTTCTGGTCTTGTAGAGCATATCCTTATAGAACATTCTCAATTTATTTCTGTCTTCTAAATTCTGTACGGTAACACCATTACACTATTCTGTCAGTGAGCACACACTTCTTTCTCTTATCTTCTTTGAATATAGGTTCTTTTTTGCTCTTCAGTAGTTCACAGATGCTCTCTCTAATAAATGTATAATTTTATTTTCCCCCCAGTAAATCTAGAATCATTTTTTGAAAATAAAGTACTGCTATTTATCCAAGGCTCCTTGTATTAAATAATGATCTATTGAACCTAAATTTGGCACTTTATTTCTGTTAACTTTTATCTAACTTATTTTGGTGACCAATTCACTCCAGCATATCATGAATTCTTTCTAGTTTTTAAGTTACAGGCTTGATAAACATATTATCATTTGATGTATTATAGTTTGAAATGAAAATGTTGAGCGGGACAAAACTCTAACATTATAATTTCACTTAAAGGAGAATCTCAAATGGAGAACTAATATCAGATGACAGCAGTAATAGTCGAGAGGAATCAAAAAGTTAAAGATTGCCTTGGAAGTGCAGCATTCATTCTTGTGCCTTTGAAATACAAGACAGAAACCTTAGAAACTCAGTCTTAGCCATGTGACATGGTTGGTTGAATCATCAAAATTAACAAAATACAGTAAAAATTGAAACTTCATTGAAGAACAGCTATACTCTCCAATGTTCCTACTCTCTCTAACAAAGTAGAAAGATATACTTCTTCACTAAAATTATACTTTTTGAATTAAAAAGAAGGAAAAAGTAAATTTCTTTATTTTGAAAAATTTCAAATCCATAGAAAAGTTGAAAAAGCGGTACAATGAACACCTGTATACCCTGTGACTAACCGTTAGCCTTGTTCACACTCCTCAAATCTCTATACACATACAGCTCTCTTTTGCCAAACTACTGAAAAGTAGGTTGCAGATATCATGACACTTTTATCCCAAGTATTTCAGTGTGTAGCATGCATCTTCTCAAAATAAAAACATTCTTTTATACAACTGCATCACTGTTATCATAGGTAAAAATATAATACTAATGCAGAATATCATGCAATATACAGTCTAAACTGAAGAATATTCATTTGTTCCAAAACTGTACTTTATAGCTATTGTTTTTTTTTTTAAATAGGATCCAACTAATGGTCATGCATTATTATAGGTTTTTTATACTCTCAACCTATAACTGTTCCCTGATCTTTTCTCTCTATTCTTCCCAATATTGAATCCTTTAACAAGTCTAAGTCAGTGTTCTGTAGAACATCTCACATTCTGGATGTTTGGCCTGTTTCTTCTTCTTTTTTTTAAATCTTTATTTTATTTTATTTTATTTTTCAATATATGAAATTCATTGTCAAATTGGTTTCCATACAACACCCAGTGCTCATCCCAACAGGTGCCCTCCTCAATACCCATCACCCACCCTCCCCAAATCTTTATTTTAAATAAGTTTCATGCCCAACTTGGGGCTTGAACCACTGGCCCTGAGATCAAAGTCCCATGCTCCACTGACTGAGCCAGCCAGGTGCCCTTGGACTGTTTCTTCTTTTTTTTCTTAATAGGAATATTTCATTTTTTCTATAATTTATTTATTTTTTATAATTTACATCCAAGTTAGTTAGCACATGGTGCTACAATGATTTCAGAAGTAGATTCCTTAAGCCCCTTACCCACTGAACCCATCCCCCTTCCCACAACCCTTCCATCAACCCTTTGTTTGTTCTCTGTATTTAAGAGTCTGTTATGTTTTGTCCCCCTCTCTGTTTTTATGTTATTTTTGCTTCCCTTCCCTTATGTTCATCTGTTTTATATCTTAAAGTCATCATATGAGTTGAGTCTTATGATATTTATCTTTCTCCAGCTAATTTCACTTAGTATAATACCCTTTAGTTCCATACACATTGCTGCAAATGGCAAGATTTAATTCTTTTTGGTTGCCGAGTAATACTCCATTGTATATATATACCACATCTTCTTTATCCACTCATTCATTGATGGACATTTGGGCTCTTTCCATACTTTGGCTATTGTTGATAGTGCTGCTGTAAACATTGGGGTGCATGTGTCCCTTCGAAACAGCACACCTGTATGCCATGGATAAATACCTGGTAGTGCAATTGCTGTGTCGTAGGGTAGTTCTATTTTTAATTTTTTTAAGAACCTCCATACTGTTTTCCAGAGTGGTTGCGCCAGTTTGCATTCCCACCAGCAGTGCAAAAGAGATCATCTCTCTCTGCATCCTCACCAACATCTGTTGTTGCCTGGAGTTGTAGCCATTCTGACAGGTGTGAGGTGGTATCTTATTGTGGTTTTCATTTGTATTTCCCTGATGATGAGTGATGTTGAGCATCTTTTTGTGTGTCAGTTGGCCATCTGGATGTCTTCTTTGGAGAAGTGTCTATTCATGCCTTTTGCCCATTTCTTCACCTGATTATTTGTTTATGGGGTGT